AGGAGGAAATTGCCTCGGATCATAACTAACTGCGCGCCCGAAGAATGAGCCTCGTTGTTGTTGTTGTTACTGTTGTTGTTGGTTGTTGCAGTTGCGCGCGACCCCAAAGCCAAGTGCAATGATGTGCGCGCATTGTACGCGCACACATAATTGAGTGCTTAGGATAGACACTTACGTAATTAAAGTCGTATTTTGTGGCGATTTATTCCGCGTCGATTGTAGTTTACTATCGTTCGCCAGTGGGCACGTTTAGAATTATGTTGATTGTGATTTTGAGATGAAGAAAGTTTTTTCTGTGTTGCTTCAAAGATTTCCATCGGTTTTATCCGTGAAGTTCGTAGTAGTTGACAAGAGCAAGATGATATCGAATGAGTTATCGCATCGGTCCGGAACATTCTTCGAGTGCGAAATAGTTTTATATATGCATGCGAAACCGAACGGGACATTCTTCGCGTCTTCGCGTTTTACCTTGCTTTATATTCAACATGTCGTCGGTTTAGTTTTATTCGGATCTTTGAAATTGCGCGCTTCTTTTTTGCGCGCGCGCCGTTTTACACACTCCCGAGCGCATGTTACAAGTAGCATTAACAATAATATGTTCACGTATAATACGATAAATTGTGGCGCTGGCTGTGGTGTGCGCACATTTTTGTAACCGCCTCTTTTAACACCTATTGCCAGCACGACGATAATAATCATGTAGTTCTTTGTGAGCAAGCCAGCAAGCAAGTCTGCAGCAGTGAGCAACTTTTATTTCTCCACATGCGCTCGCGCTGCGCTCTCGTATTTATCGTCGCACGCGGTACGTGTATATAAATATCACTGAGCATGCGCGCTAGCGCAAGGCGACAATAAGAAATCGTCGAATGCACAATAATTTCAACATTTTCGTGTGCGGCTCGTCGTCGTCGCGCAACATGCCACCGTTTTTCCTCCAGGCCGAGCGCGAAATTTATACCCGCCTGTGCATGCGATACGTTATGCTGTCCTTTTTACTCCTGCGCGACATTTTGGCTTCCTGAAACACAGCGCACCCGCGCCGAGGACAGGTAAACAAATGCTTTATGAGCGGTGTGCGCCAGAAGAAGGAAATAATATGTAAATGCATCAGCGGAATAATAATGCGCGCATTGCGCGCTCGATCTGAATTCGTTCGATTTATATTCGCTCATGCCACCCGTACGTGTTGTTTTGGTGCACTTGGGGCGATCCACGGACGACATGAATTGATGTCGTGAACGACGAGTTGACTACTCCGGACCGGGACTTTGTTTGTTTCTTGCTTATGCCTGTGTTTTCTTTTTATACATTCCATCGTCGGCGATATTAATTATTGATATGATTCTGTGCATAATCGCGAAAAGTACGGCGATATTAATTGAAACATGGTAAACGTGATGGCGGAGTCAACATCCCCACATATTCCGAGCACGATTTAACTTTGTTTAATTTAGCGTTTCAACGATTACACGCGATGGGCGCATTAATCCGACGCGTTGCGCTCGAAATATTTATTTATATCAGCAGTTACAATTAATCGGCTGTTATTTATCACTTTAATGGCACTTACGTTTAAAATTGTATAAATACTCGGCACGTTTATGCACATGCACTCATCTGTTGACTGGACTTGTCTCTTGACGTGATTCGCCTCATAATAAAGTCATAAATTAATTACTTATGTTCATTTTTATCGCTGGATAAAAGTCTTAGCCAGGAAGTAGAGGTCAGTGCTATTAGCAACCAGAGGGCGTTGAGTCAGGTTAAGATCTTTGGGAAAGTTGCAGATCTTACCGCATAATACGCGCGCTAACTAAGAAAAATTCAACACTCCCTCTTTTGCATTGTTATTAACCGATGCGCTATCGGTTGCTCATATCACTATCAGCCATCGCTAAACGGTCTGCGAGAGCTATGCACTTTAGCGCAACGTACGCCTGACTAATCTCCTCAACTTATTTGTCACTTGCAACGTAACATCATTAATCAGCACCACCCAACATTGCGGATTTAAGCTTTAAGCACTACTCGTATTTGAAATTTTCTATTTTCTATTATGTTAGATACATTTACATCGGACATTTTGGAAGAAATAAATCTCGATTGTAGTTTCACTTAGCAAAGGAATGAATAATTAGTTTCCGCATACCTTGCGCATAATTTAACATAAGAATTTCGAATAAAATGCTGAAAATTTTCCAAAATTCCTAAACTATAAGTCGTAATCAAGTGACATCTAAATCAATGTCAACGTTTTTCTGCTGCCTCATAACTGATTAATTTCGACAAACAAAAATAAAATTATCACGTTGATAAACAAATCTGGAATCGTCCAAGGCGTGCGTACGATCGTAAAATGAAAAAATTATCATTTCAAGATAAAATGTTCAAGGAAACGCGTTAAATCTTCATAACTATTTTTATCTCGTTTTTTATTCGATTTTTTTATTGTTGTTTTCTTCTCTTCACACCGCTACTAAACTGGGCTGGGTCTTTGGAAAGCATCAACCGAAACGGATAGGTTACGGGCGTAACTAAGTAAACGATATGCCATATAATTGTTTTATCGTCGGGCGAACACGATTTGTCAATGCGATTATCCGTGTGAGAAATGAGAGACATTCGATATCGGGTTACAACGAGTTTCCAAATCATCTCTGTGAATGATATGAATGAAGCTTTTATTGCTTTTTTACCAACATCCCAACGATTTTCGTTATTTTATCTTTTAGTTTTCTTTCGAATGGAATATTTAATTATTGAATTACTTCATTCGGACGAAGGTGAAGATGAAGAATCGCCGAGGTGAAAGCATTGTATGTTTTAGTTACGTGGAGGCAGCTTCCAAGCATGTCCGACACGTGCTTGTTATAATTTATAACGCATGTAAATGAAAATGATCAAAACGCTAAACAAACTACCAAAATTCGGACGGCAGGTCAATAAGAACGATTTGTTACTCACAACAACAATAAATCACAAACGCAGCCAGTTATTCATTGGACGGTATAAATATTGCCATAAAACGTGCGCATATATTTCTTTATTACCATCAAATGTAATTATAATATTTTAATGCGTGGCTAACTAACGATGGCCGGCAACAAAATAAAAAAATATATATGAAAAAGTCGGGATGCTGGATAGAGAAACAAGTGGACGTCGGTTGGACGTCTTGTCTGTGCCGCTATGGAAGCAATATTCATGTATCTATGTCATTTATAATAATGATTACACTATAGATGGAGATTATGCCGTGTACATTGCTGCGTGCGTTGAAATCGCCATAAATAAAATTCATCGGATCCATATTTGTAAACTTTTTATAGGCGACTCAGCATACATCTCTACTGATAACGAATTTATTGTGCTTTATGGAAATGCATCGTTTGATTTATTCAACTGTTTTCCTATGATAATTCAACAAAACGCTTAAATGCGTTTTTAATTCGTCGGATTACAGCGATAATGATAATAAATTTGTTTTATTGATCAAGACGATTCACCACACGAAATGTTTAAGCTATTATGTTACAAAATTGTAGTTTATGCGTTTTTTTTTTCGTTCGAGCGCGACGGATGCGCAGTCATCGATGCCATCCAAGTCAACCATCATTTACACTACAAAGGAAAAACTCGCAGCGGTCATAGATTGTCACGATAGGTTTTTAAACCACCAATGTTATGTATATTTGTCAATGCATGTAACAGTAGTTAACAACTCATGCTGATGCCACTGAGTAAAAAATAAAAATAAAAATGAAAGATGGATGAGTATGAATGAACAAACAAACTACGACTATTCGAGGGAATATTCGTTGAACGCACGGAAGTTGACTTTACATTTATTTTTTTCGATGGTTATCTTTTTGGGTACAAAGGTAAATTATGTTAATTTTCATTTTTATACCAAAGAGTAGATTTAGAGATAACTCATAATGTTGAGTTTAATGATTATTGATTAGAAATGAAATATTTTTGTTAATTTGTCATGAAAATGCGTAAAATGCTTGAAAAATTAAGAAAAACATCGAATATTTTCAATAACTACAAACTTCCCATGATGATTCATCAATAATTATTTAGTTTGTTCTAAATTTACTTGATTTTGATGCATACAGCTACTGCACAGCTAAATATAACTTCATAAGAGTGCAGAATTTTCGTAGATGCTTAACTCTCCGGCAGTTTATTTTAGGGAAAAACGTCTAATGGCAATACAGTTTCATGTTTTTCACAGCGGCGCGGATCTCGCCAGCTCGTCGGTTCGCAATCTCGGTAATTTATGGTGCATGTAACGCATGTTATATAGCCTGGTGCTGGTGAGGCGGTGCGGCGTATAAGGAAATTGTTCGCCGGCCACGCCGCGTTATAGAATAACGAGAATAGGTTAGGACAGTTTTCCGTGTCTCTCTCATTGCGGCAGTTGGTGCGCCGCTCGAAAGAAGAAAACGAAAAAAAAAACGCGCCACGCAGAGCCACATAACACATAAAATCCGGCGGGGCTGGAGCTGGTACTGATGCCGTATAATATGGAATTCAGAATTTATTGATAGATAATGGTGGAATCTTGTACGCGATGCATAATTACGCGTACTAAAACGTAATTAATACACGTTATATTGCGAGATGCATACAGCGGTGAACTTAAACTGAAAGAAATATTTTACATCGTTTTTGAGCTCTCGCACAGCGTTCAATAATGATTTTAAATGTTTGATTATTACATTCGCCATTCGTCATACGATTTAAAATTTAAATACTCAGCTTTTATGCATCAATCATTCGCGCGATTCGTGAAATGGTGAAACACACACATTGGGGGCTCACGCGGGCGCCGCGCATTCGCCGATATGAACCCGTTCCGAAAACGGTAACCGGTGCCGGCCGGCCGGCTGATATCTCTCTGCCCACATAAACTCAAATTCAGGCTGCGGCTCAAGCTCAACCAGCTCAACTCTCAAGCTCCGACGGCGCCCACCGCCACCACACCGTGTTGCTCCTCGCGGTTAGTCAGTCGATCGACGAACACCGCGTTGTGCGCACCACTGCTGCCGAAGCGAGCAGGTAGTTGTTTGCGGGCGGGTTATATACGTAGAAAGCTCGAGAAAGCACGCGTCGCACGCTCTCAGCTGTTAGCGACGCACGAGCTACGAGCACGTGTACTCGTACCATTCATTTAAGCTTCGATTATGTAGTTTAATAGCCAGATTTTTCAACTTTTCAAGAAGAAATTTTGTGTTTAAGTGTCGCAAAAACTTTGAAAACATCCAACAAATATTTTGTAATCAACTTCAACGTATCAAGTAAGTTATCACTATTGAATATTTAATGTTGATTATAAATCTGCAAGTAATTTTATTCCAATGTGCGTAGTTATTGAATAAATCAACAAAAACTAAGATAAAACATACCACCATCAACCACTTGTAAACAAAGTTTTATTAGCGCTGTGGCATGCGTGCACAACCCAGTTAAACAATGAAAATGAACGACCGCGAGTAGAAGCAATTGCCGCAAACATCGGTGATGACTCGTACTTACCACTCGTGAGTTGAACAACAAGACGACGTGTGATGCGGCCGTCTACGACGTCTGCCCGTCGGTATCATATATATGTGCTCGTAATTTAACGCTACTGGTTCCCCTCGGCGACAGTCCAATAACATGTGCATTACAGTCAATTAAACGCACGCAGCCGCGCACTCACACACCGCACTGGAAATTAAAACCGAAAATTTTATCAGAAATAATCGAAAAAGAGCTGGAAAAAATTTACAATTGAAATCGCATCGATAAATCTACATAAAACGGCGTGAATTCGAAAAAAAAAAACACGCGCCACAACATAAAATTATGCTAATTTCGATTCTTTGTAACCGCCGTGATTCTTCAACTTTTCACGACATCGCGCGCTTTCCGTGACATTAACGCACACACAGCGCCGGTAGTTGTCGGGCTGCATCCGCTAATGTATGCAAATTCGAAATTCAAATTCAAATTATTCCATTTTCGAAATTCAACCGCTTGTATATGTATATTGTAATATTTGGATCGAATACGCACATAACCTGTTCGCGAGCCTAATACGTGCGTGGACAATGGTCGATAAGACACATTCGCGTTCATAAGTTTTAAGTCGGTATAAAATGGTCATAAATGCCATTTGAACATCGATAAAAAACCTGGGTGTAGCATTTATATTCTGTTTAAGATTACTATTACTATTTTAGCGCTTTCTACCTGTGAGACTGATTAGAAGAGATCAAAACGTCCCATAAAAGTGGCCAGTCTCGACAGATATCGATTTGTAATGGCATTCTAGTACTCACATAGCAGCATATCTTAGTTTGTTATTTTTTTCCTCTGCTGCAACCTGCTTCTTCATCATTCCCAAGACCTGCTGGTCTCGGAGAGTTGTGGGATGGTCGCACTGCCAGTTGCAAGGACCACACACATTCAAGCCAAAAATTTTACACGATTTATAATCATTCGCATATAAATTTCCGTCTAATCTCTCTTTTGCGTTTGTGGAAATTTTGAATCATCCAGAATATTAATGTTTATGACACATCTACAGTTTATTTCACTGATAAGTGCTATCAGTCTTGTTTACGCGTTTTTATCCGCGTGTAAATAGGTTAATACTGAGCGCCAGTGGTGTCTATCATAGTCTATTAGATGAATAGCAGCAATTAATTACGCGGCGATCGTTTGAAACTTCCATTCAATGTGGAAGCGAAGATTAGGCGCTTATTCATTAAGCGCAAAGAATGAGAAGAATGCGTACGCTGTGTTCGATGTTTGGACCTTTAATGCGCATCGTGTTGTGTTGAAGCGTCGGGGAAGTATTTGCAATGTTTCTTCCTGCTGATATGTACGCGGCGCACACACAAACACAGCGAACATACGCGTGCTTGTTAATTTTTTTTCGAACGCATTTACGACACGCTCGCCTTCGATTCCGGCCTTTAACGTCAATTCTTTTAAACACCGAACATGTAATTTAGACGTTATTTACGACGCGCAGACACTAAACGTCTTTCGAAATCTGCTAATTAGATGGTTAATTACTTTTATATACCTTAACACTTGCTTTTTGATGGGTGTATTTGCCTAGTGTTGTGTTTACCATACTTGCGTTTGTTTAACTTGCAATTATAACTTGACCTTAATGGTTTAATGTCTGTTTTAAATTTAAACAAAATACATTTGAAATTTTAGAAAAATGTCGAAATTTATTTAAATGGGCTGTAACTTTCTATGAAACAATGTTACTAATTAAAACTTGATATTGTTCGATACATAATTTAATTTTGAATAAATTTGCAAAGAAATGACTTAAATTCAATTGTAACTTTTCGTGTAATTGCTTAAAAACTGCAAGAATTCAATAATCTGCACCATATGCGCGCGACGCGACGAGAAATCTTAAATAAATTTTTATCTCATGTGAAATAAACTGGCTGGATGTTGAAGGTATGAATGTAAATGATTTTAATTAATAACCTCGTCGCGCATAACACAATAAATTCCAATAACTTAATAATAAAGCGTCGACCGTAAATTTCGTGCGCCGTGTGCGATGCTCCTTCGACGTCTTGTGATGCTTCGCATCTCATAAAGGAATTTTAACTCGACTTGCACACACAACAACACAACCCCGGCACCAGAACGCGCATAAAGCTTCGAACGACGACGACGCACGTAAACCATACACATATTATTATCATTATTACAATGAAAAGCGCAGGCATGTGGGTTCCATCTTCTCCACCCATCAGCGGCCTAATAAAATATAGTAATTTGCTGCGCAAGAAAAGAGAGATTCGGTAACGCACGCACCCAGCACACACTCGTCACCGTCTGTGACAAATTCAACAAGTGGAATATTGTGATGCTGGAGCTGGCAATGACTTGTGCACTGTTTTATTTTACACGCGCTTGTGTCTACTTGGTTCACACGACGTTCAAACAGCATGAAATTATAGTTCAATAGGAACAAACTATGCGCACTATGCAACATTGTAGCGCATCGCAGCGACACGCCGCGAAGATGCCGATGCAGGAGAAAAACGAAAGCTTTGAAACACCCAGCGAATGAAAAAGCGAACAACTGAACGAAGTGTGTACACGTACATCGAACAACCTGCGTCTCTGTAATAAACGCTTGAATAATATTTAGCATCGCGGCCGCGTATTATCAGCTTAGATTTTTCTAACGAAAGAAAAAAAAATCACACACGCATATTGCATCTTCATATATGCTGGAGCATTGTCTAAGAAATGCGCGTTGGGTACCTCCTTGGTCCGTGGCGGGACCTATTATAATCCGCCATAAAGTCCAAGATTTGTGGATTATTATGTTGCGAACGTTATGGGCGTTATCGACGCGGCGCGATCTCGGCCGTAACCCGTTAGATTAATCTTCGCATTGCGGCGCGTACTTTTCTTTTAATTTTTAATTTAATTATCATCACACCACTAAAAAGTCATGTTTAGTTCGTTTTGCTTGGCGCGTAAATATCTCTCGCCGTCCCTATTGGCGCTATCGATTAATATACGACGCTATAAACAAACAGAACTCATCACGAAGTTTAAAGATATCCTCAACAAAGCGCTTTGCAACAAAAGTTACGAAAATATTTTCGTTATTTAATGCTATGAATTGTATTCGTCGAACGCGCGCCTAATGACTTGGTTGCGCGTGTTGTTTTCGTTTCTTTTCTTCTCCCGAATAATATTTCAAAGACGTCAATACACATCGTGGAAATGAATGATGCTTTGTACGCCTGGTCTACTAGTTGCTCTCTAGCCGGTCTCTCTAGCCCATATGGGACGTTTCCAACTGTCGGTCCCATTAAGCCCCCAGCACGCGCCCATTGTTCCTACAACTCAATCGAAACGGTGCCGCGCCGCATGCCGAAGCGTGCTGGACATTTGCCTGTCAATCAACTACAATACGTGTGAATGTGGACTAAATCTACACGTGACCAGTTGGTAATTTCAAACAGTTGACGAAAAAATCGCTAAGGAATCTTGTATAATTGCTTAGAGTAATGTTAAACTTAATGGTTATGTGCGAGGATGGGCTGAGAACGCGCCCAGCCCACCGAAGCCAGTAATAACGACGCTAATTACAAGTCGACTTGATTTAATTAGCCTTCAAATGTATCATAACATGTTACCGATAATTACCACTCAATTATCAAGCAATGTTGTGCGCTGTAGGAGGAAACTTGTGTAAATTATAGGAGATCATGAACATCATTAGCGGTAATATAATCATTTTCTTCGAAAAAAATGTTTAAAACTTGCAGTTTTTCATACTTAAAAAATATTGTCACTCTTGTCACCTGATTAAGATGATTTATGCAATGAACCGGAATTTAATCTGCTGAATTTAGCACGCGTCCGAAATTAATTGCATTTTTCTATATCCGCGTGTGGGCTGGAAAGCTACAGCGCTTTCGTCCGCATTGTTAGCAACGTGTGAACAAACTCGCGCACGCTCGCGCCGTTTATAGCTGTTTGTTATTCATTTGCTATTCGCATTTGTAATTTTCAATTAGTCTTGACGTGCGGAATAATTAATCGTACTTTCGTTTGTGTATCGCGAGTGCGTTCTCGAAGTGCACATTTATCAATCTTGCGTCGTCGTGGTCGGCGCGCGTCTCCCGCGGAATATCTTCACACCCTATAAGCGATAAAATAGAGAAGATGGACGCGACACTCCCACATTTAACTGTTCAATGATGATGACGAGAGGCGCGCGAGGCTTAGTTATTCGCGCGCGACCGCCTGATGAATCCTCTGCCCGACTGATTAATCTACACTTACAGCTTATTGAACTCGCGTATGTACTTATACATTATTCTTTCTCACGTTTTGTTATAATTCCGTCGTGTGTACTTCATGAATTGTGTACGGCTACTGTAAGAGACAAATATCAACCGTCCAACAGTCGTGCTGTGGACATTAAAGCCTGTTGTTAATTTTTCATCTCGAGTTCTACATGAAAGAGTAGTCTCTGTACTCTCATTGTTTTCGTGTATTTCATTTGGACATTTAGTCGTGCTTTCATTGATTTGCTTTTATTGCCAACCGCAATGTCTGATCTCATTTCTTTTTCGTTTGAATTATTACAGTCACGAGATGATTTTCCAAATGATTGTCCACCACATTGTTATAACGCTTATCTTCAACTTGTTGCAACCACAGCTTCCAATTGCGTAGTATTTCTGTTGTAAGATGTCTGCGGATGATTTTCACAGCTCGTGTTTCAGTTTTATTTCTCGTCGAAGTG